TCTTTGTTTAACACTTTGTCTTCCCTTCTTCTGCTTCTTCTTCTTCATCTTCTTCTTCCCCTCCCAAACCCCAATCCCCCCCCCAGGCTGGCTGTCAGCCCCGACGACCCCCGCCTGTGGTGCGCCCTGGGGGACCTGCACATGGACGACAAGTGAGGGAGGGCGGGGTTGGGGTTGGGGTTGGGGGGGTGAGACCCATGGGTCAGATGTGTGAGACGGGGGGGGCCAGGTTGGGGGGAGAAGCATGTGCGGGGTGGAGTTTAGGGGAAGGCTGTTGACCCATGGGTCAGACCTTGGGTGAGAGAGGGCCGGAGGGGTTATAACGTTTGAGGGGCCCCTGGCGGCATGCCTGGGGTTTCGTCATCGCGGCCCAGTTCACCTAACCCACTTCCCACCCCTGCAATCCCACCCATGCACCCCCACCCACCCACCCCTGCCCCCCACCCACCCAGGTATTACGAGGAGGCATGGGAGCGGTCGGGCCGGCGGCACACCCGCAGCCAGCGGAGCCTGGCGCGCAGTGCCATGAGGAGGAAGTGAGGGGGGGTGGGGGAAGTTGGGAGGGAAGGGAAGGGTTGGGGGTTGGGAGTGGATTAGTAGAGGTTGGGACTTCCGCATTTGGCTGGATTACAGGATTGCGTATAGCCATACGCAATGTTGGGCAATGTAGCAGCAACAACAAAGTACAAGCCGCCGTATAAGAGGACGGCAGGCAGGGAACATAAGGTTATCAGCTTGCCAAGCCAGCATGGTTGCTTTCCTTCTTCGCCCGCTAAGCCCCCCCCCCCAACTCCCCAACCACCATCTGGGACACCATCAAGCACATTCCGGTAAACTCGGTCAGGGTCAGTGTTTCCGCGGCTCTGTTAACCTACCCCACCCAACCCCCGCCCCGCCCCCCCCCCCCAGGGACTACCCCCGCGCCGCCTCCCACTGGGAGGCCGCTCTGGCGCTGAACCCGCTGCACCCGGAGGCCTGGTTCAGCCTGGGGTTCTGCCACCTGAAGGCGGAGAGGCACCGGCAGGCGCTGCGGGTGAGGGGGGGTGGGTGGGGAGGGGTGGGTGAGGAGGGGTGGGTGGGGAGGGGAGGGGGTAAATAGAGGTTGGAGGAGGGGGTCTGGGAGACGGAGAGGGGCCTCAAGGCAGGCGCTGAGAGTGAGGAGGGGTAAAACAAGTAATGGGGGTGAAGGGGGGGGAGGCCCAACACGTATGACAAACACGCAATCCTGTAATCCAGCCAATTGGCAAGCGCCAACGCCTACTGGTCCCCTGCCCTAGTATAGGAAATTTCCGACCTCTATTCTTCCCTCCCTCCCCCTGCCCCCCTGCCCCCCCCAGGCCTTCACCCGTGTGACTCAGCAGGAGCCGGACAACGGGGAGGCCTGGAACAACATCGCCGCGCTGTGGATGCACCTGGGGGGCTACAGGTGGGGGCGGGGCGGGGCGGGGCGGGGCGGAAGAGGGGCTGCACGTTCCTTTTCTTGCAAACGTAGCCCCCAACTACCGGTATACTGCTTGACTGTGTTGTATGGTCAGCCTTCCCCCGCCAAATGTGGAATCTCCAACCTTTATTGCCCCCTCCCCTTTACCCAATACCCTTAAACCCCCCGCCCCCTCAGACCCGCCTTCGCCGCGCTGTCCGAGGCAGTTCGCCACAAGCGCGACTCCTGGCAGACCTGGGAGAACTACGGGCGGGCAGCGCTGGCCTCGGGACACTGGCAGCAGGCGGTGCGGGGGCTGCAGATGGTGAGGAGGGGAGGTGGGGGGGTGGCAGGGGAGGGGAGGGGAGGGGGGGTGGTAAGAGGGGGAGAGGGGCACTGGCAGCAGGCGGTGCGGGGGCTGCAGATGGTGAGGAGGGGAGGTGGGGGGGTGGCAGGGGAGGGGAGGGGAGGGGGGGTGGTAAGAGGGGGAGAGGGGCACTGGCAGCAGGCGGTGCGGGGGCTGCAGATGGTGAGGAGGGATGCAGGGGGGGGAGATGGGTGTCTAAGGGCGAGCATGTGTACCGGCATGCATGAGCTGTTCCAAAAACAACTCATCCGATAGCAAGTCCCCAAGTATGCATCACATCTCTGCCGGCCCCTGCTGCCCCACCCACTTTTTAGAATAGTGTCCCCGCATGCGCTCACTACACGAGCCGGGATATGGGATTGGGGCTCCACTTGCATCACTTCTCTTTTTATTTTTCCCCTCTCTCTCTCTCCCTCCCCCCCTCCCCCTCCCCCCCAGGCTCTGCAGCTCAGCGGCGGTCAGCGGCTGTACGTGGAGGTGGTGGGCGGGCTGCTGGACGTGCTGGAGGGCAGGCCGGCGCCCCGGGACCTGGGAACAAACCCGCAGGTACGCATGGTTGGGGGGCGGATATGTGGGACTATTATACAGGGTTAGGGCTGTAAACCAAGCGAGGCGAATGGGACAGGGTTGGGGATGTAAACCAAACGCAGCACCTGTCTTGTAATTTTGGAATAGGGAGGGATTAGAAGCGGAGACCGAGGACAGAAGCGTATGAAGCGCACTTTGGTGGAAACCTGCATGCATATGTCTAACTTGGGTGCGCACATGCGCCTGTGTGAACATGGGCAGTGCAGTAAAGTTGTACAACCCTGTAAGAGCAACCTGAGTAAGCCGGCGTGTGTGTTTCGTGTTTTCATTCATCCTTTCATCCTTCCCTCCGCGCCCTCCTCCTCCGCCCAGGCGGCTGCTGCAGCGGCAGCTGAGGGTCTGCTGGTGGGCGAGGAGGCGGTGGCGGCAGCTGGGGGGCAGCTGCAGCAGCCGGAGGAGGAGCTGGATGCCGCTTTGCAGGTGGGTAAGGGAAAAGAAGAAGAAGAGGAAGAAGAAGAAGAGGAAGAAGAAGAAGAGGAAGAAGAAGAAGAGGAAGAAGAAGAAGAGGAAGAAGAAGAAGAGGAAACCCCCTCCACCCGCCGCTCCTCCGCCTCGGATCTGAGCTCTGCAATTTTTCACCCTACCTGCCGGACCCTTCTGAACCGCGTTGCCCTGCTCTACCGACCCCTTTAGCGCGGCCCACCTCTCTCCGTCGTACCGCCTCTCCTTGTCGTACCGCCTCTCCTTGTCGTACCGCTTCTATGACCTGTAGCTACCTAGGGTGCGATATGGTCTTTGACCCCCCCATCCCCCACCCCCCACCCCCTTCCCCCTCTTTGGCCCACCCCCCCCCAGGAGGACGAGGCGGCTCTGGGTGTGCCGCTGTTGCCGCTGCTGGCCGACCTGCCCCTCCACCCGCAGCAGCAGCAGCAGGCGGAGCAGGAAGGACAGCAGCAGCAGCAGGAGGCGGAGCAGGAAGGACAGCAGCAGCAGCAGCAGACCGACGCATCCTCCACCTCCTCCTCCTCCTCCTCCTCCTCCTCCTCCTCCTCCTCCGCGTCCATCTCTGATCAGCCCCTTCAGGAGCAGTCCCAGCAGCCCCAGCAGCAGCAGCAGGGGGGACAGCAGCTGTTGTCGGGTCGGGAGCGGGAGGTGGTGATGGGCGTGCTAGGCAGCCTGCTGAGGGAGGCGGTCAACAGCCCCGCAGCAGCAGCAGCAGCAGCGGGAGGTGGAGGTGGAGGGGGTAATGGAGCGGCGTTGTGGGGGTGTTTGGCTCGGTACTGGAGCCTGAAGGGGGAGGTGGAGAGCGCCAAAGAGGCGAGGATCAAGCAGGTGAGGACGAAACGAAGGAGCCCCCCTCCCTCCCTCCCTCCCTGCCTGCCTCCCTGCCTTAGTTGTTTCCTCTTTTCCCTGCCTGCCTCCCTCCCTCCCTGCCTGCCTTAGTTGTTTCCTCTTTTCCTTGCCTGCCTCCCTCCCTGCCTGCCTCCCTGGCTTGGCTTGGCGGACTTGTGTAGGGCTGGGTGGGCTCGGTGGCTGATTTGGCCGCCGGTAGACACTTTAGTTGGTCCTCTTTTACAGACCCGTCAACTCTGTCCCCTTCTCCTTCTTCTTCCTCTTTGCCCCTCCCCTCCCCTCCTCTTCCTCTTCCTCTTCCTCCTCCTCTCCCCCCCCCCTCTCAGGTCCGTGCGCTGTCCACGCTGCCGTACAAGAGCGACGCCGCCCGCTTCGTCGAGTACGCGGAGGCGTCCCTAGCGCTGGGGAGGGCGTACCTGGAGTGCCATGCGAGGGGGCAGCAGGGTGAGGGGGTGGGGGGGTGGGGGGCATGAGGGGGGCGGGAGGGGCTGTGTGTGCGTGTGTGTATGCGCTCGGGGGGGCTAAAGAGGTGCGGAGACATCGGGAGGGCGACAAGAGTATTGCTGCGTTGCTGGCCTAGCTGTTTGCTACAAGTGTGTGTTATGCCCCTTGCCCCGCCCCTCCCCCCTCCCCATTGCTTTGCCCTGACCTGTGGTCTCCTATGTGGTGTGGTATGGTCTTTGTCCCCCCTCCCCGCCCCCCCCTCCAACTCCTCAGGCGCCTCCCCCAAGGACCTGGCAGCTGGTCGCATGCAGCTGCGAGGTCTGCTGCGGGCAACTGCCGAGAACTTCGGAGACCACCCCGTCACGGCACAACTGCAGGTGAGGGAGGGGGCCATGGGGGCAGATGCCGCCTCTTGGTGTGAAGGTCGGGGGCGATATGCTCTTGCAGCCTGTTAGCTGCCTGTTTGAGGGCCGGTTAAAACGTAAAAGCGTTAGTAACGGGTAATTAATGCTCACCTTGATATGTATTTGTGTATGTTTGTTCCCTTTTGTGTGCAACTCAGGCGCTGCTCGAGGAGATTACAAGGGCGGAGGATGCCGCGATCGCAGCTGTGAAGGCAGCGAAGGCCTGAGAGAGGGGTTGTGAGTCGCAGGAGGAGAGGCAGCCTGCGCATATGGCGCAACGGGGTTGTGAGTTGTTAGCGGGTGGAGTGGTGTGCGGATGGTGGCTTATGTGGAAGGTAAAAGCAGAGACGGAGGGCTGGAGAGCATGTGTCAGAGTCTCAGCGAGCTCTTGGGAGTACCGTACAAGCCCAAGGTTTCGCCGTACTTTTTGTAGCAACGAAGTCTTGTTTCGTTGCGACATTTCGTTGCTAACAAGCGCTAGCATTCTACATCGTAGTAACTGATCAAATCGGTGGATGTCATCGCAGTCCCGTTCAGACCCTTGCACGACAACCTCGGCTTATTTTCTTGGCTAACACCATCGGTTACATTTAGCGTGTGCTTAGTACTTCGAAAGACAACAACGATAGAAATGGAAGGTGCCGGGCAGGGTTCTGCGCCAACTCGCCAGCCCAACAGGTGTGTGGAGAGGGCCTACCAGCTATACTCACAGGCGGCAAAGATTTGCTCACCATTAGTTGATCGCCTGAAAAGAGATGTCCTGCTGGCCGCATTTTGAGACACTTGGTTAGTTGGGGTATGATCTGAAAGTGAATGTGCCGGATGCAGGGTTCAGGTTAGCACCAACAAGAAGCCACTTCAGTTCTACCTGAACCTCAGCCGGAGAATAATGGCCGAGCACGGGGAGGTCGAACTATCCGCTCTTGGGTTGGGTGAGCAACATGCGTAAATGTTCGCGCCCGACAGCTCGTTCACATCATGATTGTTTGTGACGTGCACACGCAGCGGTTTCCAACATGGTAACCGTCGTCGAGATCCTTAAGAAGGAGGGCTGGGCTGTTGAGAAGAGTAAGTCAATAAGTCCAACGCGCATCGATACATGATAGGGCTTTGCAAGGCTTCGGGTATCTTCCTGTACCGGGCTTATTCTTCCAAGGGGTAATGAACTTGACACGTACATGTGGTCCTTTCAACCATTCTGCCCCTTTCCTTCACGCTGGCATCCTCACGAATTGGCCATCAGGCTTGCGCACAAGCCTGGAGACGCTCGAGGGCGAGGGCGACCAGCGCAGCATGAGCAAGCCCAAGATGGAGGTCGTGCTCTCCAAGTCCGCAGGTGAGAGCTGGTGCCGGTAGGGAGGGACATCATGCCTTCTTCGCCCGCCGCGTGTGTGCCCCGTGTGTCGGTTCAATTTCCTTGTGGGTTGCCGAATAGGGGCAGCCACTTTGAACCCTGTCATAACAATAAGCGAGATGTTCCGGTTCCTGTCTTCCCTGTGTCCTCGCCCTTTCCTAAACCCATCCCCCCACTAACCCGACCACCACACGCAGATTTCGACCGCCTCTTTGCTGAGCACCCGCCACCTCCCCGGGGACAGAGGCCCGCGGCTGAGGCCGTGGCCGCGTAATCGGTGCCCTGACTGCTCAGACCAGGCCATGCATGAATGCAGTATACCCGCTTGTACGGCAGAATGCCGTACCGGTATAGTCCATATCCATTCCGTACGGCTTTGCTAAGCTGCTCGCGCCAATGCGTGGCAGTTCGGTTTGCAGTTAGGTTTGCAAGGGGACGAGGGCAGCGGGATGAAAGCCTCTCCGTGGGACGCACACGATGGCTTGTTAGGTTGGTTTGCGTGCTGGCCTTGTATGCACCTCTCGCGCGGTGGAAGGTCTGTACGGCGAACGGGTGGTGTACGGCGCGCGGGGTTGGGCTTCGTGCCACGACATCGTCGTAAGAGATTGAGGCATACTTTCAGGGCTCCTGTGCGTGCTTGATGCTTGCTTGTTCCGGTAGCAACGGTGGGGCGGGATTGCCGAGAGGGCTGCTGCCGCAATAGCAGTAAGTTGCACATGCTTGCAAGCATTCTTGCGGGAATCGTACAAGTACGGCATGTATGTGGCAGACGTAAAAAGCAAAAGGATTTCATTTGTTAGGAAAACTGGCTGCGAGGAGGAACGTACTGGACTGTCGGAAGATGATGTTACCACCAGAACGCCAGTGTATGTGGGATCCCAGTGATAGTTGGAATTGTACGTTGTAATGTTCCGACAACCTGTGAGGTGCCATGATAAAGCACAGACGCAGAATACCGTAGCTCAGCCCCTTCCTCAACTTGCTGCAGCACATGCGGTCCTCAACAGTCTTCTGTATGACGGTTGGCGGCCGTAAGACCAGCAGCAGCCGCCCTTGAGTTGCAGCGGGGGTTCCTGTAACAATGATTCCAGCAGCAGCAAGCATGCGGATATGGGTCGGATGAGGCCCGCATGGCTGGGGACATCCGTCCGGCGTGTTTCTTCGAAAGGGGAGATGATAAGGAGGCGCGTTGAGGCATTGACACAACACAAGCAGCAGCAGCAACACCCAGAGGGGGTCGGGGTTGTGGCGTGAGCGGAGTGAGGGGCAATGCTGTGCCGGTAGGGAAGGGCTGTGAGCGGGATAGTTGCAAGTGATAGTGCTGGGGGCTTGGTCGTAATATTCAGCGACATGTTTGCTTAAATCCTGTCCGTGTAATACTCCTCCAAAAGGTGCAAGGCGCATGCTTCCAAAAAGGAATTGAGGTTGGCGATTGAAAGAGGCGAGGGCATTAAGTTTCGAAAAAAGTGGTTTTCCACAAAGAAATAAACTTGAATCATACTATTTGCAATATGCCTAGGTCAGAGCAACTAGCCGCTAACGCAAAGGGCGCGTCAGTCTTCGTCGCCGGTATTACCATCGATCGACGGTCACCGGTAGTATGCACCAAGTAATTCCACAATTGCAAACGCATCCAGGATAAAAACAAACAGCATAATACGATGATAAAATGCTAAAGACAAAGTTTTTGCGGCAACATACCTGGCGGAAACATGCGCGGAGCCCATGACTTATGGTCAACGAACTTTATGTCCAGAGAAATGTGCTAAACGGCTGGAAGCAGTACACGCCAAAACGTTCAAACTGTAAATAGCGTGGTTGCCGCCAAAAGCACCGCCGAGAAGTAGCTAGTTTTATGCTGCCGTACTCCCTCGCCTATCTGCCGCTGATTATAAAATGCGCAGGACACGTTGAGCTTTACAGAGCAATCCTTTCTAACAAGGGTTGCCTTTAGGGATCTAAGACCCATTCGTGGAGTTGTGGAGTCACGTTGCACTGCTTTTCCATTGAAGCAGTTGACATCTGTGACAAAGGGTGAAACTTACAATTCCCGACTCATCATCCACTTCATTGCATTAGGGTCTGCCAAGATTCCCTCTGCTTACACGCGGTCATGATGCAAGGAAGGAGCGTCCGCATCAAAACGGGCGGCCATCTAATGCTCAAGGCCCTGGCGGTCGCGCTCTTCATCTGCCAAGCCTCTGCTGCGAGTGAGTAACATTGCTGAAGCTTATGAACCGCTATAGCTTCAACTTGCTGGGCAGCGAACTTTTGTGATTGTTTGCAACATACGTTCCCGCGGTTTGAAGACGTGTGACGCCGCCGGTTTCCCGTGGTGGGCGCCGAAGACGATGAACAACCAGTAATGTCTGGTACCATCAGCATTTTCCGATTTTGAACCCACTTGCCTGCCCACACATGCAGGAGTCGCGCTGCTTCCCAACCGGTCACCGCCGCCAAAGCCAAGAACCTCGCCACCCCCCTCTCCTTCACCTTCACCACCTCCACCAAGCTCGTCTCCACCTTTAACCTCATCGCCTCCTCCAAGCGGCAAGAAAATCCGCTCGCCGCCCCCTTCACTACCACCCAGCCCCAGCCCGCAGGGTCGCCTCTCTCCGCCCTCACCTCGCCTCTCTCCTTCACCCCCGCCTCCTCCTCCTCCAAGCCCCTCTCCCTCTTCCGCACCCCCGCCGCCTCCTCCAAGCCCCAAGCAAAGCTCCTCGCCCTCGCCCTCGCTCTCTCCTTCACCCTCATCGCCTCCTCCTGCAAGCGGCAAGAAAATCCGCTCACCGCCCCCCTCACTACCACCCAGCCCCAGCCCGCAATTGAGCCCCTCGCCTCGCCTCTCTCCTTCACCCCCGCCTCCTCCTCCTCGAAGCCCCTCTTCTCCACCTCCTCTGCCTCCTCCAAGCCCCAAGCAAAGCCCCTCACCCTCGCCCTCTCCAAGCCCCTCGCTCTCTCCTTCACCCTCATCGCCTCCTCCTGCAAGCGGCAAGAAACTCCGCTCGCCACCCCCTTCACTACCACCCAGCCCCAGCCCGCAATTGAGCCCCTCGCCGCCCTCCTCATCACCTCCTCCTGCAAGCTCTCCTCCGCCTCCGCTTTCGCCCCCTCCTCCCACATCTCCCCCTCCGCCTCCGCCTTCCCCACCGCCCAAGCCCTCGCCTGCTGCCAAGCCGCCTCCGCCGCCCCGCAAGAGCTCCTCGCCCCCGCCCCCGCCACCCAAGAAGTCTCCGCCCCCTCCTCCTGAGCTACTGGGCCCCCCTCCCGTTGAGGACTTCCACCCCCCGCCTGCGGAAGGAAACTAGATGATGTGCTCTGCGTGCTGTGACTTGCAAGCACTGAATAATGCGCTGCTGGAAAGTAGCATGATGTGGCTAGCAAAAAATGATATAATTGGCAAGCACTGGTAACGCATGCAGGGACTCGGCCGCCCAGGGCATAGTTGGGTCATGGCATGTGGTAGTTATTGCGCTACGTACGACACTTTTTGAACGAACGCTGTACTGGATGTACGTCTGATATGTACGGCTGATAAGGTGATTATTATTGATTCGTGTTGGAATACTATAATTGGTCGTTACAAGGGTTCCCCAAAAGGAATACTGCTTTCATTGCAGGTTGTTTAGGGTTTTGCTTGCAGATGTTTCTAGTTCGGTTACCCATGACGCTTTCTAACCAATGACCAGCGTTCGTGATTGCTGCTGGTGGCAGACAGATGTAGAAACCACCTGGAGAAAGGTGGCCGTGAAGTAAACGTGTACAGCAGCGTGGACTACCGGTAGACGATGATGCGCGACCCACGGGTCATTTCCCCCCGCTATGTAAAACTGATTAACCTGAGTAAACTCCTCCTGGCCGCTCGCAGCACGCCTTACAAACCTACCATCCTTGCCATTACACAGCGTGCTAGCTGTTACATCGCACGTGTTGGTCTCCTCTTCCTTCGCTCCCTCGCCTCGCCGTACGCTGCCTCAGGCGCATGCCACATACTATGGGTTCCCATCCCAAGTACCCTAGCAATCCCCGGTTCCATTGACGAAGCATACACACACAGAGTGCCGTACGTTCACCCATTTCCATTCCCTGTCGCCAGGAGTCATCTACTTATGACTCTCTCCGACACACGGCACCCCTCTTCCACACAACCCCCCTTTGCGCGCTGGACCCCAGCCAGTCCAGCACAGCATATCGGGTAACACGGTAACAGGCTTCTCCCTTCCCTTTACAACAACGCATCGCGGCACATTGAGTTGCTCCCCCCAGCAGCTGCTCCCGTCGCCTGAACGGTGCGGAACGCTATGCTAGGCATGGCTAAGCCTGAAGGCAAGACGGTCCCCCTGGGGTTTACAGCGCCGCTGGTGCTACCCCGCAGTGCTGATACGGATGCCGTGGGACAGCATCAGCAAGGTCTTTCGCTACGTCCCTGTGTTGCTATCAGTACGTACGTGCCCCGTGCTCCCTATCAGGGCAATACAATACATAGCCACCGCAACGGAGGCAACTGCAGGAGGAGTACAATGCATAACAGACGCAACGGAGGCAGTAGCAGCCCTCCAGGTGCTGCTGCTACATGTTCTTTGCTGCTCATGGTATCCGCCACTACCTTCTCCGCTCTTGAGAACGGAGCTCAAGTGACGGCGGCTGCATACGTAACAAGCGGCGGCTACCTCCCCGCTTGCTGCTGCTCCTCCCCCTCCTCCGCCTCAGCTCCACCCAACGCACATCAACCCGACACAGAACAATACACGTCTAATCCCAGCTGCTGCTCCTCCCTCACAGCTCCCGCCCAGTGCTCAGCCCGATCCAACCAGCCAGCCCGACACAGACCAACCCGGTTCCGTTGCTCCGGCCAATCCGACCCAGATCAGTGCACGACCCAGACCAGCTCGACCCAAATCGGTATAGCTCGCCTCAACCCAGATCAGCCCGACCCAGATCAGTAGATGGACACATCCAGATAGTCTCCGGTTTGGAAGTTGAGCTGCCGCAGGGTCTTAGAGTCGTCCTCACCGGGCCGCGTGGAGTGTACGACACCCACCTGTGGGGCCAAGATAGTATGGAGTGGGGGCGGGGCAGGCAGGTAGGGCAGGTGGGGAAGGGCAGGGTTAGGTTAGTGGGTGTGGCGCGGGAGAGGGGGTGAGAGGACAGCGATGAAGCGGCTGGCGGGGCTACGCAGGCGGAGAGGGGTAAGCGCACGGTTGGTGCAGTCAAGGGGAAGCAGGTGCGTGCAGGGATATGAGGGGCTAGGGATGCTAAGCCATGAGAGGGCAGTAGGGGCGCAACCCGCCCTTCCTCTCCACGATTCTAGATCATGTTACCATTCTCCACAACTGTCTTACGACCAATGTCCTGTACATATATGCCATGCGCGTAATTGCTCGCTTAGCCACAACGGACAGGAACGACTCTCCCTTGGTCTAAACCCCTCAGACCAAATAATTGGCTCCCCCGCTCTGATGATAAGGTATCAAGCGCACCTGACGCATCACGTTGCGCCCCCGCCGGTCCGGATACACGAACGCGAATGAAATTCGCGAGTTGCGGTTGCGTGCCTCAGGGCTCACATCCTTGATAAGGTCCGAGAGCTCTCGCAAGTCGGCATCCATCCATGTGTAAATTGCTACTTCCTCTGGCAAGCTGTTTCGATCTGCGAAGTCCTCGAGCTTATGGTGCCCTCCTTGGCGAGGGAATACCCTCATGAGCAAGGGGCATGTCTTCTCCCGATCTATCTCTTCAACGGGTTGCTGGATTGCTTGCCCGCCTCCGGCTGCCGCTGCTCCTCTAGGGCCGAAGCCTCCAGGCCCACCGCGTGGCCCATCACCGAATCCTCCGCGAAAGTCGCCGCCCCTCCTTCCATCGCGCCAGTCCTGTGGGCCCCCTCTGTGATACATGGCTGCCATCAATTAAAGGTTACTATAGTTACAACTTTACTGATTTATCCTTCTCTGAAGATAGGTCTTTTGCTGATATCTTGCAGCAAAAAGCAGGTTATCCTCTTGCTTCACAAGTATGGTCCACAAAGGCTTGGTAGCAATTGAACTAGTAAATATTTTGAGGCAAGCTATGTTTCAGGTGCTATTGCTGAAATGCGCTAAGCGACAACTCGAGACACAGGGAGACAACAGAGTTTGCAACTGCAAAGAGCGTAAGCTGTGATGTATGAGGATAGACTAAAAGACCATGCTTAAGGAAAGAAGCTTGTGGTCGGTGGGTGTGGGTAGTGCACGACTGTTTGTCAACGGTCCTCATGCAGCCTCAGTCAGCGATCAGCCCCGGCGTGACTTGCACCGCACCAGAAAGTTCTGTACAAGCAGGTTGTATCCTACTGTGCCTCTTACATTTACCGATGGTGTTGAATGCGCCTATGGCTTGAGTGCATTTGCAACACGGGAATCGCTTGGTGTGTTTAAGGAAGGAATGGGCACACCTAGTTTGAAAGTAGCTCCCACATACAAAAAGCGGCATGTCCTGTGATGAGCTGTGGTATATCTGGTCTTCCAGGTGACGATCGAGAAACGTTTCCTACATACACATTTCTCCAAGCTTTCGTAATCACATACGAAAACCGGCACGACCTGATCTTGACCGATATAGCGAATAGTAGATACTATATCGCCGATTCCCATCGGCCGCCGTTGTGAACGGCGGGGCAGCAGAAGACAGCTGGCCTTCAGTAGCTAAAGCTACCTTTGCATCATATATATACGGCAACCTGGTTTCCGGGTGTATCGGCGTTATTCACTTCCAGGCTGCAACATCCTGACCGTTGACAGATGGACCTCGATGCCGCGCAAGCGGCGGTGGAGCGCGCTTGCGAGGAGTTCAAAGTAGGTTAAACTAGGGTCCCGCCGCTGCCCTTCATTCCTCCTAAGTCAGCACTCTTGACTTCTCGCGCGGCAAGAGTTTCATCGCATCCCGCCCTGCTCTGCCCTCCTCGTCACCCGGGCCCTGCTCCTCACACGCGCTTGTCAAAACACATCCTCCCCCTCCCGCTTTCCCCCAACCTTCCCGCTTGCAGTCCCCCGCCACTGCCTCCGCCGCCTCCGCCGTGCTGCTTCAGTTCCGCAGCTCCCCTGGCGTTCTGGGCGCCGCACGGCACATCCTAGACAGGTCGCCTTCGCTTGATGCCAGGTAGGGGGGCAAAGAGGAAACAACTAACTGGCCATGTGTTTGGGGGGTTTCATAAAAGATAAACGAGAAGTGAAGCAGAGGTTGCGAGTACGACATCCGGGACACATGGGTCATGCGAGGGCGCATGGATGCCAGATGGGGTTCCCGCGGTAACCCCTTCCTTCTCCCGCCTCCCTCCTTCCTCACCTCCCTCCCTTATCCCGCCTCCCTCCTTCCTCACCTCCCTCCCTTATCCCGCCTCCCTCCTTCCTCACCTCCCTCCCTTATCCCGCCTCCCTCCTTCCTCACCTCCCTCCCTTCTCACTTCTCCCGCCCCTCGCCACCCCCCGCCTCCCTCCTCCCCTCCCTGCCAGGTTCCATGCCGCTGCGGCGCTGCGGGAAGCCGTGCTGCGCGAGTGGGCGGCGCTGGGTCCGCAGGGCCGTACGGCACTGGGGTCGTACCTGATGTCGTACCTGGCAGCGCATGCGGAGGAGCCGGGCATGCAGGTGGGGGGGGGAGGGAGGGGCTGCATGGGGAGAGGGTGGGAACGGGGGGGGGGGTAGGGTCCTGGGGCTGGGACCCTCGGAGGTCTGTCTTGAAGGGCACAGGGTACCATGATTGCAGGGGTGGGTTAGGTATGTGGGCTGTGTGCGTCGCCATCCTCCCCTCCCCTGTTGTCCCCCCGCATCCGCCCCAGCACTCGCCCCAGCATTCCCCAAGGACCTGTCACCTAGTTTGCCATTGTCACTCGACACATTGGGTATCCCACTTTTTACCCTACTCGCACCCCGGCCTCTTTTCACCCCACTCGTCACTCCCCTGCACTCACCCGCAGGTGGTTCGCTCCTCCCTGTGCTCCGCTCTGGCGCTGCTGCTGAAGCGGAGCTGGGTGGAGGCGACGTCGGCAGCGGAGGGGGGGCCGGGCCACCAGCAGCAGGGGTTCCAACAGCAGGGGGTGGCGGTGCTGTCAGCGTTCTTCAGGGTGGGGCGCATGCGCGGGGCTGGGTGGCGGGCTGAGCTGGCTGGCTGGGTCGCTGTGCTTACGAGGGTTGGGTGGGTGGGCGTGCGCCCGTCCATACCGGTACTCCTTCCTGCCGCTCTTCCGCCGGCTGCCCTCTTTAGTCTTTACCCCTCCTCCCCTCTTTACCCCCTCCTTCCCACCTTCCCCCCCCCCCGCCCCCACCCACAGGAGCTGCATGCAGCCACCTCCCACCAGGCGGCCGCGCGCAGGGTGGGGGTGCAGGTACTGGAGGTGAGCGGAGGGGGGGGGGGCGGAGAACAGGGGGCTCATCACAGGGCTCATCACTGGGTTGGGGGGCCTAATTGACCCACCGCACTTGCCCCCCCCCTGCGGCACCCCTGCATGCAGGCAGTGGTGGGTGAGTTCGCCCCCGCCAGCGCCTCCGCCCTGGGGCTGCCCCTGGAGCACCACACCCGGGCGGCGGGGGAGCTGCAGGTAACCCGGGGGTGTGGGGGGTAAGACGTGTGTGTTTTTGTACGGCAGGTGCACACTGGCATGCCTCCTAATGCGGAAGACCTACACTTGCACGGACACACGTGTGAGGCCAATCCACCTAGAGGTGTATGTCGCTACGTGGTAGGTCTCCTAACTCCACCCTTCTTGCCTGCCTCCCGCCCCATGCCCCACCCCACCCCCCCTAACCCCCCCCCTACGCAGGACCACTTCCTGCCCGACATCTTCCGCCACGCCGTCTCCCTGGGTCGCTCCGCCACCCTGCAAGGCGATGCACCCACCTGCTCCGCCTGCCTCGCCCTCATGGCTGCCGTACTGTCATGGGACTTTAAGCGATCCACCATGATTCTGTACGGCACCGGTAACAACGGCAACAGTAACAGCATGTACGGTGGTGGTGGTGGTGCTGGTGGTGGTGGTGGGGACAGTGGTGGCAATGGACTTGGGCCGCATGCGGCGGCAGGGCCGCGAGGAGGGGCAGCCCCGGGGGCAGCTGCATGCGGCGCCTCCGGCGCCTCTTGGTCTTCCCTGCTGCTTGCTCCTGATACCCTGGACTGGGTGGCTGGGCTGCTGACTCAGCTAACGGGATCAGGAGCAGGAGGAGGAGGAGGAGGGGGTGGCGGTAACGGCAGCGGCAGTAGCAGCAATGAGGCGCGGGAGCTGGTGTGCAGGGCTCGAGGGGTGGTGGTGGCGCTGTGTAATCTGTCACCCGAGGTGTTCCCCAGGGAGGGTAAGGCGGGAGGGGGGGTTGGTGGGGCAGGCCTTGGAGGCTTACAAGCAGGAAGGCATGGGGCTGGCTCGGATGACCCCTCCCCATGCACCTCCTTGCACTCCCCACCCCCTTCACGGGCGTTTTGTTCCTCGCAGCTGCTGTGCTGCTGGCCTTACCCCCTGGCCCCATGCATGTTCGCTCAGCTGACGGGCCCTGATTGCCTTGCCCACCTGCCCTTCCCTCCTCCCTTCCTCCCCTCCCCCATGCCCCCCATGCAGCTGCCGAGGTGCTCACCGGCCCCGGCGGCGGCACCCGCGGCGGCTACCTGCGGGCCGTGCTGCGCTGCGTGGTGGCGTGGGTGGGCGGGGGGGCGGGGGCGGGGGCGGTGGTGCGCAGGGCGGCGGAGGGGGACGAGGCGCCGCTGTGGGAGGCGTGCAAGTGAGTCGGGTGGCGGTGGGAGGGGGGGGAGGGGTTGGGAGAAGAGAGGGAAGGGTGATTGGGATAGGACGGTGCTGGGAACCTCAGGTGGTGTGCACCAGGGGGAAAGCATGTGTGGGTGGCGTGAGGTGCGAGTCGTGCTGTGAGTCTCCATGCTGCCTCCCAGCCCCCGCCTTCACCCAGCCTTCATCCCGCTTTCACCCCGCCTTCACCCAGCCTTCACCCCGCTTTCACCCCGCTTTCACCCCGCTTTCACCCCGCTTTCATCCCGCTTTCACCTCTTTCCCCCCCCCCCAAACAGAGCCATTCTTGCGCTCTCCTCCTCGCACCCGCCCCGCCTGCTGGAGGCCGCCGGCAGCGACGTCATGGCGGCAGCAGCAGCAGCGGGTGGTGGTGGAGGAGGGGCACAGCGGGGCGGCTTCCTGGCGCTGCTGCTGGTGGGTTTGGGGGGTCAAAGACCATACCGAACCATAGGAAGCCACAGGTTTGGGGGGGGGTGTATACATGAGAAGTGCAGGAACTGAACTCCCAATCCCACATCCCGACACGGATGGGAGAGGATTGGTGGAACAGGGAGCAGGGTTAATGAAACCAACGATGTTGCACCTTGCCCACTGCGCCCGCCCATCAATACCAAGTTGGTCTTATCCTCTCTCCCCCTGCCTCTCTCCCCCCCATCGCCCCTCCCCATCGCCCCCCTTCCCCCCGCCCCCCCCAGTCCCTAACCCTGGAGGTGGTTCGTGCCAGCTGCTGCTGCGCCCCCGGCTGTCTGGAGCAGTGGCTGCAGGAGTGCCGGGACATGCTGGTGGAGGTGAGGAGGGAGGGAGGGAGACAGGGAGGAAGGAGGAAAGAAGGGTTAGGGTGGTCGGTACGAGCTGCTTGCGGACACCCTCTTTCACCCCCTCCCTCAGAGAATTGGTTTTTTTCCCACCCTCATTGGGTATTCTCCGTTCTCGCCCCCCCACCCACCCCTCCCACCCCCTCCCCCCACCCCACCGCAGTCCTGGGCTCTGCTAGTGCAGCGCGACTGCTCCAACCCGCTGCTGCTGCCCCTCTCCGTGGGGGCCCTGGGTCCCCCCTCGCTCCCCGGCTTGGCGGAGGGCGCCGCGACGGTGTTCGGAGCCTTGTTGGAAGCAGCCATGGTAGCAGCGGGGCAGGAGGCGGCGGCGGAGGCGGAGGCGGCGGAGGAGGTGACGGCGGACAATGAGGCGGCGGAGGCGGCGGCGGAGGATGCGAGGATGGCGGAGGCGGCGGCGCTGGCTCGCGCGGCGCCGGCGGCGACGTTTCCGCGACTCGCCGCCGCCATTGCGGCGGCGCAGCAGCAGTTACTGGCGGCGGCGGCGGCAATGAGGGGTGGCGGCGGCGGCGCCGCCGAATCGTCTTGGGCGGTTGCATTGGAGCGGTTATGTTGGTTGGTGCGAATGGCAGCGCATTGCCTTGCGGAT